GGATGTGGACGACCAGCGACTCAGTCATGACGCCATTCTCTCGAAGCGATGCTCCCACGACTCGGGGCCGCGTGTCTTCTTCACCCCAAAGCTGTGTCTCATTCTGAAGCGCCCTTCTGCGGGCTCGCGTCATTTGCGTCTGATTGCCCCGTTGAAGTCCCTCTGTCGAGTGTCCGACTGGCACCGTTGGGTCTGCAGAAGAGCAATCTATTCGAATTCGAATCCTGTCACACGAGGCTTTGGTGTTGGAAGCTGTGTGGAAGACACGCGCGAGTCGAGGCGCGGTCAGATCTCGAGGCGGCGCAGATCTAGTAATGATGATGATTCGCTTCGACAGCCCACTCCTTTTGCCATTCGCTATGACGCTGCCTGTTGTTCCTGACCGAAATGCTTCTAATTCGGGTTGGCTGTTCGAGGCAGCTGATCATCTAGAGCCGGCAAGTGGCCATGCGAAGCAGCAACGAAGTTGACGAAGCTGATCGTTGCCAGCGGTGAATCTGCCCCAGGGCATTCGTGGAGCCAAGCTGCACCGACGGCCCGCAGTCGTCAAGGCGCAGTACGTACCGTAGCCCCTCTTACTTGGCACGAATCTCGCCCACTTCACGCTCCGCTATGCCCTATGCCTAGCGCAATTAGCAGCGAGCGGGAACCCAAACACGCGCGCTGACGCCTCGCAACCCTGTCTTCCCCTCCAGCTTCTGCCATTCGCAAGCAGTTCCTCGTTTGGCTTCCGCCTCCCGCTGCAGACTCGCGTTGCCGGCGCCTCTAGCCAACTCTCCTACCCCAGATTCAGAAAGTGGAGACTTGGCTACGACGTTCGAAGTTGCACGTCTTTCTGGTGCGCCATAGAAGTCAAATCCCATCTTGATTGGCCTTCTTTTTCGGCACAAGCCTGCGTGTTGGTTGGGACAAAAACCAACGTTGGCATCAACAGTCTTCTCCTGATTGTACCTTCGGCGAATACACCGGTCATGTCGACGTCAGGTTCAAGAGCAAAATTCGCCGAGCTCTCATTTACCCGCACAACCTAACCTGCAAGGCGCGGACCATCTTCGTTCTTAAAAGACGACCAGTGATGACGCTTCCGCCTGCGCCTCGCTTGTAAGTTTTGCGAGAAGCAAGCCGCATTCCAGAGCACAATCGGAACCACGCGAGCATCAACTATGTGGCCGATCCCAAATCTTGGTGTCGCTCTCGACTGCAACCGAGTCACGTCCTTGCCCGTGATCTGCGCCTGCACAACAGCCTCAAGCGCCGAACGGCGCAACACATTTCCTTTTGCTGCTCCATCGCCGTACATATCTTCAGGTCTCCAAGGAGGAATACTCTTTCCCAGTGGCGCGTACCCGCAAGCTAGCTCACACGGAATCGGGGCCGAAAACCCAGTGTTCTATCTACGGGCATGTTCCTGGCTCCGCTTCTCGTGGCTCGCCGCGGCGTCTTGAAGGAATGGCCATCAACGGTCCTCTCCCAAATTGACTTCTTTTGTACGCAGTATTGCGGCAGTCACTTTTGCGCCCAACCGCTTGGCCCCTATCCTTGGCTGCATCCTGACTAGCGACCAATTCCCAATCCCATTTGTCGATGACCGAGATCTCCACCTTGACGGACCATTACCCTGCCAGGGCCAAGATCTGATAGCAAAAGAAGGTCACGATACACGAGGAGCTTAGCTAGAATCGTGGCGAGCTAGCTTTCGTCGTAACTTTCGGGAGGCGCACCGTTGACAGCGTTGGTGGCCCATTAGGGATCTTCCCCGTCTTTTCCGATACGGCAACCCACCGCATCCATACCCTGAAACCTGCTAGTCAGGTCACGACAGACGCATGCTTCTCTGAGCAAACGACCACGAAGTACCCACACAACCCCAGGCCACTACAGAGCCTGCGGGCCGTTACTTTAGAGCAAGCCGCGTTCCTCGCTTCAGGGATTTCCGTCTGTTCCCTCCCCTCGCTCTTATACAACAACACCTACACCTACCCAATCTCTCATGGCTCTGCCGCTCGCATTCTAAAAAAAAAAATGCTACAGCAGTTCTGACTGCAGACGGGAAGCCATGGCCCGCTGGTTGACACCCCCCGACTACCCTATCCCCGTTACTCATCAGCCAGCAACAATTCGGGGAACCTCGATATTCTTGCTTGTAATTAAACAAAATCTCCTTGCAATTTTCACTCTTTACTGATGATCTGTAGGTTGTGGCGTGGATAGCGGTACTCCTTCGTTTGTGGTGTCGATTCAAAGTCGTACGGTCCCCTGGATGGGACGATCTCATTGTATCTCTTGCACTCGTAAGGCTATCACCTGTAGTAGACCGAGCACATGATTGATTGTAGCAGGTTTCGTCCACCATTGGAACCGTAACGGTCAACAATGGTTTGTCTCAAGTCCGTCCGTTTCGCCGCCAGCTAACACAGACGTAGAAGTCCCCTACGGTTTTGGCCTACACTTGAGGTCAATGTTGGGAGAGAATCCTGATGGAACCATCAACTATTCTGCGTTTTCAAAATATCTCTTTGTAAGCCTCATGCGTCTCGTCTTTGAGCTCTTGATGCTCATTCTTCCAGTGGTTTATGTGGACCAATGCGACGTATTGCTCGAGCACCGGCCTCATCAAGCTATCGATCGCCGTGCAGTACACGAGGCTGTTTGGACGACGTTCTTATCCTGTCCTCCACTGGACTTTCGTTTGCATTGCAATTGCCGTTGCCTGCTGGGGCACAGCTTACTTCTTCATGGTTGTATTCAGCTGCTCTCCTGTCGAAAAGAGTTGGAACTTCCTCGTCGATGGCCACTGCATCCTGTTTGGCTCCAGCGATGCGGACGAGACATACAAGGGCTACGTGTCACACACGGCCAGCAACATGTGCCTCGACGTCCTGATCCTCACAATCCCACTCCCGACGTTGGCACGATTGAAGATGTGCAAGAAACAAAAGCTCGGCCTCATTGGGCTGTTTAGCTTGGGCACAGTGTAGGTTCCATGACAGCAGTTTTCGATTCTCTACTGACGCCGCATCCAGTGCCGTTCTCTGCGCCGCACTCCGTCTCTGGCTCATTGTCAAATCGCACGCTGGTTCCTACCCGACCTACGACCCTCCCTGGTACGCGCCACCAATCGTCCTCACATCCGACATTGAAGTCAATCTGGCCATCCTCACGGCATCGATGCCCATCTTCTGGCCATTCCTCGCATCGACATTTTCGGGCTCCATCAGCGTCGTCCAAGAAATCATCATCCGCAGCGAGACGCGCAAGTCGTGCGACTCGCAGACGCATCTCTCCGACCTAGGCCCGCAACGACACCAACACCGCACCAGCTGCAGTGCTTCTGATGCCAGCGACCTGCGCCTCAAGGACAGCAACAACAGCACCGTCGTCAATGAAAGTAGCGTCGCCGAGCAGCACCGCAAGCACTATGGCGATAAGCACGTCGCCAATCTGGTTGTGGGCGAGCTGGCCGGCCCCATGGACCGAGAGCCTGGCCACCATCACCATCACCATCACCATCACCGTCCCGACAGCCCTCCCAGCTTGGACAAGCCTTTGAAGACGCATCAGGCCAGTGCGTGGTTTGAGCCGGTGGCCATTGAGGAGCTACATCCTCAGCAACATCACACATGACTGTAGAGCGACGGCTTACCTGCGTCGTCACATCGTTCACTTTTGCTTGCGTCTTTCTTTCGATTTTTTCCTAGTCCTTCAGCCTTCTATGATATCCCCTTCGCTAGCGCTTTCAACGCCTTGTTTCTCTACTCTGTTACCGTGGGAGGTAATGCTCCTGATTTCACTGCACTGCACTGTACAGTACTACCATTACTTCGAGAACGAGGAATACAAGCAGGACTTTGACAACTCACCATTGGAATGCAGCCTCGTGTCTCTGATCTCTGCCTTTGCCGACCTACCCTGTTTTGCCGCTCCCGCCCTCGCGTTTTCTCTCTATTCGCTACTCTGGCCGCCTCACTGTGAATTACCATCCCACCAACGATCCCTCTCTGCACAACCCGTAGACATGTGACGACCGCCATGAACGCCCCGAAGCCCGCCAGCTGTCCACACCCCGTTAGTTCCCGCAAAGCTTCTTTCATTTCTCGATGAGCAAGCGGGTAGTCAGCTCGCCGCGCTATCGAGCACTTTGCATTCAGGGGTCAAGCCAGTTTGGGCGATATTGAAAACGGTCCGCCGGCCGGCCGGCCAGGCTGCCTTGCCAATTGCCATGTGTGCCCGATTTATAGGTACAAACAGTGGCGTCGCGGGCCCTGCCCGTCCGACCGTCCGTCCGACCGGCCGACCGTGGGTGCCGTACGACGGGTACGACGAAGTCCCTGGCGCGGTTGGCTTGGTTGCTTGCCGTGTCCGCCTTGTCTAAACAGTGTTTCGTAGAGCGGCGTATCAACGGCGTAGTTGGCGGCATTTTCGATCTGATTTTACTTTTCCTTCGGTTCTGACTGGCTCGGAATTTCCTAGACTTGTTGACTCGAGGTCTTCATCATCCGCGAGCGTCACGCTGTGAGGCACAATCTGCAGCGCCGCGTTTGCTTCGAAGACCACGCACCTCTCAATGCGTACATCCCGCATCAACACAACCTTGTGACTCTCCTCACCCAGCCCTTCTACAGAACGAATTCCGCAATCAATACCCGACCAAGCGACCAATCGAGCTGTACGACGAAGATGCTTTATCGAAACGTATTATTGATCATTGGGTAATCATCGATACGCTGGCAGCGCTTGCGGGCGACGAGCGGTAAATATAGCCTTGGGCGCGTTTCAGCTTACCGGCCTTGCTAAAGTTGGCAAATGCAGAGCGGTTCCGCGCGTTGGGAAGTCCGCTCTTCCCTGGTGCGTTAGCTGGCCCGGAATACTTCCAGAAGCTTGCGTTCTGCGCCCCCAGCGACTTGCGCGCCTCCACAACCGCCCAACTTTGCACTGAAAGGTCCCAACACAACACATAGACAAATGAAAGAGTTTTGGAGGGCAAAAAAGACAAAAAGAAATGGATCCGCCGGGAATTGAACCCGGGACCTCTCCCAATTCAATATCCAGATGGTTATCATTATCCAGATGCTAAGGGAGTGTCATACCCCTAGACCACAGACCCTTACCTTAATTGATGAAATAAAAGTCGGATCATAACCTCTATAAACCTGCATTCGTTCTGGGTCCGAGATTGTGTGTAGCAGCTCTACCAGGGATGGAGAAACTTATAGATAAGCGACCATCCCAAGCTCTCCGAAAAGAAATATCGAAAAAAGTCGAGATGAACTTCTCTGTCCGGCACAGCTTGCCAATACTCTTGTGGGATCTGTAAACTATTCCTCTAAGCTATGGGAGCTTAAAAAGAGCATTTTGCGATATGAAATCAGGTTCAAAAGGCCAAGGGCTGCGTGGAATCATGAAGTAAAGCGACTGAGAGCACTGACAAAACGGGCGGTGGTTCGCTTACTAAGCATGACCACCCCTTCAGCTCTACATCTTTCTTTCTCCTCACCATCGAAGAATAGGGAAGCAGTTGGTTTCGCGTTGTAATCCTGCTTCTAGCACTCGCAATCCGAAGCCTGTTTTGGCAGTGCAGACCCGTGAGGATTGGCCGAGGAACTGATGGAAGATGGAGACTGTAACCATTGACGAATCGTTCCTCCAACTGCTCTGTCAGTGTTCACTGATTTGCTTGTTGCACATGATAAGTGAACACGTTGTGGCGCATGGAGTCTGGCGGCACGGAAGCCATTCTGAACGCGTTCAGCGACGCTGTTTATGTGTCTCGGTGTCCGGGAAGATCACCGCTTCGGGACATGGATCCGCCGACGTCATTGAGCCAGATCGAGGGGCAAAGACGGCGTGGTACCCCGCCAACCCCGAACTGACATTTTCCATTCAACGCCAACACCGCCGCCATGGAATACGACACAAAGACGCGTGAGTGAGCCTACGCGCTGTCTCGCGGCGCTAACACAAAGCAGCGCTCTACAACACCTCGGACAAGACATCCTTTGCCTACATTTCTGCCAAGGACCGATGGCCCGTCATCATTGTCAGTCTACCTCTCTGCCTGCGACATCACGGTGCTGACCCTCCGCAGACCCAAGGCATTGATGATGTGCACCGCGGCATCATCGCATCCGACGACTCTGAGACGCAGAAGCAGGGCAAGCAGATTGTCGAGGGCATGGCAAAGCTCAAGTACGAGCTCCAACACGACCGCCAGTTGACGCCGCTCGAGGACGACGGCGAGCCCGACATTGCCGGATACAACAAGGAATTGGAGCAGCTGGGCAACCCAATATGGTTCGACGTACCGTGGCTGTATGCCGAGTGCTACATGTACAGGTAAAACGGACGCCTACGAAGTGAAGCTGGACGGTGCGTTGACCTGTGCAGATAGGCGCATCAGCACGCTTTTCAAGCGGTCGCCCAAGTGGACCAACTACGACATTTTCGCCCGCCAGAAGATCTCGACCTTCAAGTCGTCGCGCCCGGCCGTCATCGAGCTTGCCGCCAAGTACAAGGAGCTCGTGACGCAGCTCGAGACGGGCAAGTCGGCGCAGCAGACAGTCGAGGCAAAGGAGGCTGCCGACAAGATCCTGTTCATGGAAATGTGCGAGATTTGTCTCTGGGGCAACGCGACGGACCTGTCGCTCCTGACCAACTTGTCGTACGAAGACATTCAAAAGCTGCAGGGCTCCGAGGCGCGCAAGGCATCGGAGAAGAATATTCTGGTCAACGACCTCAATGCGGCGTACGAGACGCTGCTGGCGGCCAAAAAGGCGGGCAAGGCCGAGCGCCGCGTCGACATCGTGCTCGACAACGCGGGCTTCGAGCTCTTCGTCGACCTGATCCTCGCCGGCTACCTGCTGTCGGCGGGGCTGGCCACCAACGTGGTGCTGCACCTCAAGTCGATTCCGTGGTTCGTGTCGGACGTGATCCCGGCCGACTTTGGCGCGCTGCTCAACGCGCTGGCCGACCCGCAGGCCTTTTACACGAGCCAGTCCGACGACGACAAGCACGCCGAGCGCGCCCCGTCGCCGCCGCTGTCGCCCGCCGAGGCCGACGAGCTGTCGTTCCTGTTCCGGCGCTGGAGCGGCTTCCACGCCGAGGGCCAGCTCGCCATCCGCCCCAACACCTTCTGGACCGAGGGCGGCAGCTTCTGGCGCCTGCCGGCCACGGCGCCCGCCCTGCACGACGACCTCAAGCAGAGCGAGCTCGTCGTCTTCAAGGGCGACCTCAACTACCGCAAGCTGACGGGCGACGCCGTCTGGGACCCCGCGACGCCGTTTACGACTGCCATTGGCCCCCTCGGACCATCTAGTGGCGTCCGCGTCCTCGCGCTGCGCACCTGCAAGGCTGACGTCGTCGTTGGCTTGCCCAAGGGCCGCGACGAGGAGCTTCGGCAGATGGAGGGTGGCGGTGGCGATAGCGGATGCAGGAAGTGGGCGTGGAGCGGCAAGTGGGCCGTTGTGCAGTTTTGCGACGGCAAAGCTTGATTGTGAGCCTCAATAGAGCCTAAAGGGTGAAGAGCGTCTAGAGTGAGCAAGTAGACACGGGGTTTCTACCGGTAGATAGCAGTAGACGCATCCAGATACAAATCGAAACACAGACGATAGAAATAGAGGTAGATGGTTTGTTTGCTATCTGAGCAAGTATCTTTGATTCTAGAAACACTGTCATGTTTCTAAGCACAAGAGGTAGACAAGCAAGACGAGGTGTTCAAACGAGCCAAATTCGAAATTGGTATCAAGCCAGCCGCCAGCCCATGCATGCATGATTGCGTCGTCCGCCCGTTTGTCGCCAGACCCGTTGACGCCTAGCAGGAGAAGAAAGAGAAGAGACAGACGGAAAAGGTGTATACACAGTGGAGTAAATGTGACAAGGAGAGGGAGCACACTGCCGCTGACAAGAGAGAAGGAAAAAAAAAAAAAAAAGAGATATGAACACAACAACACCGACAAGCCAGTCAGCCACCCATCCACCCACCCACCCAAAAGTATGCAGCATCCGCGTGTATCCACCGCTAACGACGCCTTCCGAACCCACTCATGGATGCCCACGGCCTCTATTTTCCAGTTTCTTGATTCCGATTCCGCCCGCCGCGCCGGCGCCATGCCATGCCATCCGTCTATGTTTTCAAAAGGAAACGTGGGGTATACTAATGATGCAGTAGGGACAGTTGAGAAAGATGTGAGAGATGCAAGGACAGACAGAGACATTGAAGGAAAAGAGGAGGAGAGAGAGGGAGAGCGGCAGAAGGGAAGGAATGGTATAGTATGGCAGGGAGAGGAAGTATGAAAGAAAACAAGGAGATAAGAGCTTCAGGAAGACAGATGGTTGTATTCTTGCTTGCTTGCTTGCTTCGCTGGGACGAGGCTTGGTATCGCCTTCTCTTCACGTCTCGCTTCTGGCATAGATCTGTTGGTCTGTCTTTTTGTGGAAGATTCAGCTCAGCTCAACGCACCAAACCCTTGTTGTCCTCGTCCCTTGGTTTTCTCTCTTTCGCCTCCTCTCCCATCCACGCCGCATCTACCTCGTCGCCTTGGGCGGAGTTGGGAACAAACTCAGCGTGTACGTCTTGCTCGAAACGCTCGGCTTCCTGCCGTTGGCTGGCGCCGCGGGTCCCACGCCCAGACTGGACACGCGTGTGTGCTGTGCGCGCACGCCGGCCTGCGCAACCAACCTGGTCTCGCCGCAGTCGACCGACGCGGTGCGCTCGTGCTGTTGCTGAGGTAGCGGCATCACACTCCTTGGCGGCATGTGGTGCAGAGTATGGCGGGGGTTTGGCGGGGGAACCTCCCGGTGTTGGTGGTGGTGTTGCGGGTGGCGGAACGACGACGAGCGCGAGGGGGGCAGCGAACGCGACGAAGGGGGCTGTGGGACGGGTTTGGCAGGGGGTGGCGCCGGCGCGGTGGCGAGGAGCGAGGTCGGGCGTGACCGCGACGACGTTGGCCGTGCGTGATGATGGCGGAGGCGCAGCGAGCCGGCTTCGTCGTCGGCGTCGTCGTCTTCGGCCGTGCGCTCGTGCTCGTTCTCATCGTCTGAAATGTTTTCGGCAAAGAATGTCTTGTCACCTGGCGCTTCGTTGGCCTGCTCCTCCTGTCGCTCTTCGTCCTCACGCGCAAACCGCGCTAGGTCCTTGGAGAGGCGGTCCACGTTTAGCTCAATGGTGCGTCGCGCGCGCCTGCTGTGTACCAGCTCGGGCAGGGAGCCGATGGAGCTACGGCTGCGGCGTGGCGGGCTAGTCAGCGAAATGGATGCGCTGCGCAGGCTGCTGTCATACGAGCTACCCATGCTGTAGCGCGACGGCCCGCTGCGAGATGATTCCGCAATGGACAGGGTGTTGGCTGAGCGCCTATTGGAGTTGTTGCTCAACAGGGGGTAATGACGGTCCGAGGCCGAGTCGTCGTCGGGCCCACCGCGCTGCGCATACGAGTCGAGCATTTCGTCAAACATGCTTTCCTTGGACGCTTGCTCCTTGAGCTCTTGCGGAACCAAGAGGTTCGGGTTGTACGGTTCCTGACGATCATCCGACGCAGGCTGGGTCGAGGTGTTGTTGCGGGCGCCATTCGTGCTGGCAGCATAGTTCGAAGCCGTATACGAGTCGGGCGTAAGCAAGCTGTTGGTCGAAGCGGAAATGGCCGAAGGATAGTCGAGGTCGGGTATTGAAGTGGTACTGGGGACGACCAGCGACGGGCGAAAGTTGCCCAGAGATTGGATTGTTTCTTCATTGTCTTCCTCGGGCTCTTCTTCCACAGTCGAAGTGGTACGGCGATGTTGGAAGCCGGGCTCCATGGGAGTAAAGGAACGCGCGCTGGCCGGTCCATTCGACATGCGCTCCCAGTCGAATTCGCAGTCGGCATCAGCACCGACGTCGTAGCAAAAGTCAATGTCATCCTCCCAAGTGTTATTATCCAACGGCTTGAAAAAGGTCGAGCGTCTTCTGACCGAGGCAGCACGCTGCAGCGCTGGACTCGCCCTCGGGCCAGGAGACTTTTGGGCAGGGTGAAAAGGCGCGCCCAGGGTATCCGACATTTGCGAAAGCGGCCGGGGGCGAGCGCCGCCCATCCTGGCAGAGAGGCGCGACTGGGCAAACGACTTGAGCTGTTCATG